GTTGAAAAAAGCGCACCTTTTCGGTCATCATCATCGACAGCATGACACCAGTGTTCAACACCGATACTTCATTGCCGTACAACAATGATTTATTTGAAAGCCTTACGATAAAGAAAAGAGTAAAGGTGGATGGGGAAGGGACTTAGTGCTAGGTTGCCACAATCATTCCGAGGTGCCTACACCTCCAGACATTCACTCAGGCAATCTGGATAGAAACTGACAACAGGAACGCCACTGACATCGGTTGGCAGCCATATCTTGCAGTGTCTCCAACCAGGATCATGCGGTCATGAGCGAGAAACAAACACTGAATCGAGCAAAGCAATCCACGGCATCAAGTGCTAAAATTGATCACCAAAAAAAGCCGAATTTAAACAGAAAAAGTGAACAGCTAAGTGACCAGTATAACCTGTGTCATCTCCGTGCTTTTGAAAAGTGCTCGTGGGGGAATCATTCAACTTTCTCTGAGAATATGATAGATACAATGGGCTTCCAAAAGTTCACATTAATGAATTATGGTGTAGCCCTTTCGGACAGCGAATTCGCGCTCTAACCACTGAGCTGTCTCGTTCCCACAGGTTATATGGATGTAGAATTTCTTGAAGAAATTTCATACGAGGATACAGTATGGTCTGTTTGCTCTTTTCACATCTCATTCAGAGAAGTTTCACTCAATCTCAGTTAGATGATGGAAAGCCTCTACTCTTATTAGACACAGGAATTCTGACCAGGAATCGACTGTAAGACATTCAGGTTTGCCTGCTAAGCAGTGATAGGAAAATAAATGACTTCCGAATGATTCAATGGCCCGATCAACCAAGAGGAACAGTTAAATTTTAGTGGTTCATCCACAGCAACATCAGTCAACATTGATCAGTTAGTTCAAAGAGAACTGGTCAACAAATTTTACCAACACCTGAAAATGTGTGGGGAAAGTGTGTCTGGGGTCCAATAAAGCTTTGCAAACTTCGCATCGTGTATGTTTCGTGCACGGTAGCTTCACCCTCAGTACAACGATGTTAGCTAATTACCATCTAGGGCTCATTTAATGGACATGCTCATTTTCTCGTCGATCAATCATACATACTGTTATGGATCCAACCGGTCACGCACAGGCACTTGGACTATTTTGGTAAGTTGTCTGTCCTCAGTTGTGGATTGTAGTGGAGCGAATAGGTACAATTGGACTCAAAGCAGTGTAATGTTCTAGTTGTCGATCATTCAGTTCAGCTTTCCGGAACTCAACAGTAGTTCGATCGATGTGTGGCTTCACGTGGTCACTAGTTCTTACCAAAATTCACACTCACAAAATCGTTAGGGAATGAATATTGTCATCGTAAGTGCTACAATTCGCCATTGCGGAGCGTTATGGCCTTGTTGGTCAAACAGCACACGGCTACTGAGTGTCAAGGCAGTGTGTAGTTTGAATATTACGAGTGTAACGGTGATACTACTGATGAGAAGGCACGCGAGTAGTATGTTTTGTTTGTGGAATTTCGCTTTGTCTCTTGAAAACGGGAGATCTGTTGCGGAATTTGTGGAATCCTTTGTAACATCTGCTTGGATTTGAGCGATGAATGATTGCAGTCAATGGATATCCAGGAAAGTTCAAGAAGACGCGTTCAGGAGAACATGAGTGTCCAGTTTTTGTAAATAAGATGCAAATGAGAGTTTTGCTTCCCTGTCCAATGGTCTGTAACCAGTCAGTTGACATTTTCTAATGAATAACTCCGCAGCGAAGGCCTTTTTCCTTTCACAAGTACTCCAAGAGTCCACACAATCTGTATAAACATTTCCAGGGCGTGATGCTGGCATTTTGGACGCATCAGAATTGAACACAAGGGGATACAGTAATGGCTTTGGAGTTATCATCCCTGGGAGACTTAAAGATGGTTTTCTCGACGGCTCAGTTTCTCTGTGGAACGAGAATTAATTGGAACCGCATCATATGTCTTCTGCCGTATAAATAGCGTACTCCACTGGATCAGCGTGTTCCATACCTTTCATTCACATATCCTAGTACGGTACAGTGCTTTCCATCATCCCCTACTCAAACTACCTAACATGATAAACCGCCCATACCATTGACCAACAGTCGCGGTTTTCCTCGACTTTGGGGGAGCTTTGAGGATAGATTGGCTGTTCTGAATATTACTGGCCATAGACTGATACCCTTGATTTTCGTGAACATCCTTTGTGCAGGGTATTTCTAGATTTCTGGTCAGGTTAGGGTACACAACAGACTATCTCAAAGCCTTTTCGCAATCAGTTGAGTTCATCGTCCGTTCTCGCTTTTTTGTCTGTTTTCATGGTCCATGTTATCGTGAATCGCACATTCTAAGGGACTAGAAATTTAGATATCGATATCACATCTGGAGAGAGATTGGTGGACCAGAATTATGCGGAAGACATCGTTTTGTTTGATGATTGTTTCTCCACGCGCAAATCACTTGAACCGGATTATCAGATATAGCGAGATGGCTAGAGCGTGAATTTACTGACCGGAAGGTCCGTTCGAACCCGGCTTTTGCCTTGCAAATTCCTCTGCTTAGACTCGGGTAAGCTGGCAGTGTCCCAGTCCTCGTTCTTCCTTTGGCTGGCATGGCAGCTAGGCGCCGAAAGGCTGCTACAGCTGAACACTTTTTTTTATATCGGAGATGATCCCATCTTTTGTTGTGCCTTTAGCAGCGTCCAGCTGAAAAGTCTTATTTCAAGGTTTTCCATCCCCTGCACTCTTCTGAAACTTGAGAATGAAGAGCTTGAGCTTGTTGACCGGTTCACATATCTTGGTAGCTGCACGTATCGTGAATCTACCGTAGCAGATAAAGTCAATGAGCGGATAATCACGGTGCGAGCAGCACTCGCCTACTCGAGTCATTTTTGTGCATCAGAAAGGACTGCGTATACAGGGCGGCTGTAAAAGCGGTCTCAGGTTATGTTTGCCCCGATCCGGGAAGCAAACCGACCACCGGTGTCTGCGCGAGAGTTAGCTGGACGCATCGACGCAACGAAGTGGTGCGCACTTGGATATTTGGTAACGAGCCGAGCTATTGGTTTAACTAATCAGATTAAGATGGCTGAGACTTGAAGTACGTGGGTTCAGCCATCGTCCTCCTAAAAGAGCGTTTTATGCTGCAAGCGATTGTTGCTTAAAGGTCCGCATGGGACAGGCCAATGCGTGGCGTCACGAGATGAAGGTGTTCGCAATCAAACTAGATACTATGGGATCTGTCTTTCCTGACTGGGGCCCACGTGATCCTCATTGTATGAGTTGGAAACCCTGCAGGGAATAGCACACAACCGATCTCAATGGTGCCCCATGCTGTCGTAGCCCAACCAAAGTTCTATCGTTGTGTTCCGAGCTTACGTCGGATGAGGTTTGCGAGGGACGTTGGGTCAAGCTCACTGGTGGCATCCTATTTTGTCCTGGTGCTGTTTATTTTACTACTGTTCAAAGATGCAAGCATCTTATTCGTGACGTTTTCTTGTAAGGACACCGGACTTCTTCGCACTAGGTCCCTACTCTTCCCTCTTTTTTCCCACTCTATTACGGCTTTTTATGGTCGTATGGCAGTTACATACTGGTCTACATTACTGGTGCATGGCTCTCGCTGGTGATGTGAAAAGTAGCACAATAGGAAGTCGGAAAGTGCAGCGCTTCATCTTGTCTCCAAGCCTTATTGAGTTCAACGGGTAAATCAGTCGTGGACTGTTGCAGAGAGCGGTGCTTTGTGCGTCTTTGAGGATAACTTATCGTACAAGCTAGTTTAAGTCCAAAGCCATTCACCAACGTCGGAGGTTACTGTAGCAGCTGTACTCGTGACGCAAACTTTTCAATGTGATGATCAGCTTATAGATCTAGGTTAGTGGCCAATGGCGTTCCCATTGTCGTATCCCCTCTTCAAGTAAATCAGTTGCGTGGGATCCAGAACTCGTCTCTTTCGTTCCGGTGAGGGTGTGCCGTATAGGGTTGCTGTACGTATTTGTACCCCAAAGGGGGACGATATCGTTTCCGTACCGAGTAGCCGTACAGATGAGAGTGTTGGAAACATGCTTACCACCGCGGTTGTTCGTGCGTACTGAATACGTTAATTCCGATTTTGTGTCTCCTCTCTCAGATCGAGCTTAACTTGTAAAACTCCGTTCATGGACAAGAGAAGTCCAGGCTGGTTACTGTCAAAGGACCTGCGAGCGTGCGCTAATGTCATTGCTGTCGATTTTGCGAGTATCATGCTTGCTAGGTCTGTTTTCTTACATCTTGTCTTGAGTTGGTTGCGCACTACTTCATGGCTGTCGAAACCGGTCAGCTGCATCCATGGCTGATTTGACGATGCGCAAATAAACACTCTGGTAGCTTGATATGTTTGCCGTTATGTGATGACTTTTTTGTGGGTGCCAGCTTACGATCTCTGATTGGTTATGATGTGATGGAAATCCAGGATTAGCTAAGTCTTCTGCAGTTGAAAATCCCGTTTTGAGGCTTCAATAGTTTCACGAACAAATTCATATGCAGTACGATCAACAACAGGTGCTTTTTGGGTAGGGAAATTGTGGACCGAAGCGGGAGTCTTGTTACTTTTTGAGAAGAATATTCCATGTTTCATTGAAGTGTTGGAATTGTCGCTCGCATAGTTGGGTCACGTTTCATGAGATCTCACTAAAGCTGTCTTAGTCTCTTCCTGAAAGCTATTACGTGTTTCGCTTGACGGTGTGACTGCGTCCCGTCTTGTGAAGCTGCAAGTTCTGGGTACATTACACTCTTGGAAATCGCAAATGCGTCGATCACCAGGAGCTTTCATATTTGTCATCGCAGTATCCAATATGACAGTCTTATTCAGACCAATAAGTCTTTTGACATCTTGATCATAACAGACATTTTTTCATCTTGTGTCTATTGTGAGCTCATTTGATAGTTTCGACCGCACACTGTCTTGTTCAATCGATTTTCTCCCCTTTTCGGCATGCCCAATTCGCTTGTCAACTTTCCTTCAACCTTTCAGATTCCCGCAGCATTCGGCCTCTGTTGTTACCTCATTCATGAGGGTTTTTCCCGTGACGCAATTAGAATTCATCTGAGCATTTTTGCCGCGGCATCCCCCTTGGCCGCCCTGTTGACCTATGTCTGCCTTGCTTGGCCCGCTGTTGACCAGGTATGTTCTTCGAGCGCTTTCTTTTACACTTACCCTGTCTTGCCTGAAACACAATATCAGCGAATACTCTATCCTGGTTTGTTTGGGTCTACAATGTCTTGGCAGGCATTCTCTTTCCCCGTGTTATCAGTGTACGATGTAGTATGGTGATTTGTTTTGTCTTCATATCCTTTTAGTCCTTATTTTTGAGAGAAAATCATTATATATTATTTGAACGGCGGGGGCGGAATCTACTTTGGAAATGATCATCACTCATAGTTGGGTGCTCAAGGGTAATGAGGTGTTTTTGAGGCGGCTACTGCACCGCTATTTAAGGTAACTGGTAAGTTTCAAGATCTATCTCGCTGTATTCAGTGATTTTTTCAGTAGCCTCACACTTGAACATCCTGCTCGCGTCACAGACCGAGACAGACAACGCTCATCGATCCTGTCTCCGGTTTCATCATCATCATTATCAGCTGTAAAAATCGCATAATTGTCGTACAGTGGTTGCAGCTGCCACAGTTTCGTTTACGGATGATTCGTCTATATCGCTGTATTCAGTGATTTTTTCAGTAGCCTCACACTTGAACATCCTGCTCGCGTCACAGACCGAGACAGACAACGCTCCATCGATCCTTCTCCGGTTTCATCATCATCATTATCAGCTGTAAAAATCGCATAATTGTCGTACAGTGGTTGCAGCTGCCACAGTTTCGTTTACGGATGATTCGGAAAGGTGGGGTAGGTAGCTCCGCATTGCAGGCGGGAGATGATAAATTAGTGCGTAAATACAGCACTGTAGGTGGACTGTTAAGTGGGAGGATTGGGGATGGAGCTATTCATTGAAGACAATAGTTTGGATGCACGAGCGCCATTGAGGGCGTGACGGGGCAATGTCTAGCAATGTATCTAACCATATTGATATGGCCCGTTTCGGGGTCTCCATCCAAGAAGACGGCAATGACCAGCGCAGCTGAGTTTGCTGGTAATGGCTTTTATACTTCGCTGCTAAGTCACCGTTTGGCCGCCTCTGGCTCTCTTCCACCCTTCACGTGGTTGTGCGAAAACAGCCCTTCGGGGAAGTCGGTCGACTGGCATGCGGAGCACGTCTCCTTTTTGGGCGCAAATGATTCGACACGCCAGATGGCTTCATGTGTTCTTAGTCAACCACGGCTTGTCGAATTGGTCAACCGCCTCTACAAGTCTATTTACAGTGGCAACCATAAAAAAGCAATACTGATAGAACCAGTTGCTTTGAGAATGTACTGACATTCCGGGTGTATCTATCTCACAGAGACTGTAGAAGGTAGATTACTGCAGCTTCTAAATGCTAGACAATGGGTCATGTGATCAACCACACCAACATCTATCTGACGAATCTCAGTGAAGTCGGTGGTAAAACGTTCCAAAATCTGGTAATAAAAACGGATTCCGGTCCTTAAGCCGTTTGATTCTGTTGTCTCGTCTGTGATGGCGCTAGATGTGACAGTATTGTTGCATCGATTTCAGACTTCTACACTCAAGCACTGCGGGGAATACAGCGTTGTGGTTTTCCAGCAATCCACACACACGTAACGTTCGACAAATTATATTGAACATGGAGGTCTATGGAGTCGGTTGATCTGTAAGGTTTAAGCATTTCGACGGCATATATGAGCTCCAGTTAATAAATGTTGATTTGGGCAGTACGTAGTTGGAGATGAATCATGAACTAACTCCTGATGTTTGCCTGACTCTGTAGCATCATCTGACCCCTTCTAAGTTGAGTTACTTCAGCAAACAAAATCGATCGTCACAACCAGGACAGTTACTGGGTCGTCTTATCGATGATGTGTCGGGCATACTAAGTGAGAACACGTGCACCCGTTCAGATGTGAGAATTCAGATGCGTCCAACGCGCGCTGGTGGAATAGTGGTAACACGTTCGCCTCGCATGTCAGGTGTCTGGAGTTCAAACCCCGGCACGGCCATTGGGTATGCACTGCTGATGAGCCCTAACAAGAGCGAAACTCGAGTCCAGTGATTCCCCCCTCCTTTGGTGTGGATTCACATGAATAATTGCGCCAGGACAGGAGGACGGCTGTTCAGAACGAGAGTAATGTGAAACAATAAAAATCGTTCAATGGTAGCACCCTTTTGGTGTCTAACTGTCATGCCACCCGGAGGTTGCACGACGGCTGAGATACTGCCAGGTTGCCCAAGCTTGGACAGGGGTAGTCGAGAGGCAGACGTCGGGTTCAGACCACCGACTTTCCAGTCAATAACTTTGCGTTCTTGGGCAATCTCGCCCCCAGGAAACAAAAAATGCACCTCTCAATATGCTTTCTGTTACCAATCTCCAGATTACTGTTTGGACTTTCCTCATCAGAGCCTTTTCTAGAGGCGGCAAAATGAAAGCGTGATGTTCATCTTTCTAGGTTTCGTAGGCTTTTTACGAGGACATGGTTAGACCATCATACTGGCAAACGAACGGCACTTCTAAATTGCTTTGGCCGAGGTGACATCGTATCTCAGAACAGAAGAAGGATTGCTCGAGTGAGGATGTGAATCCTACAAGTCTGTCAACCACCTTTGACTAATCAACTATCATCCAGTTTAGGCTCCAGACGTCCATAGGCTGAGTGTGTAATCTTGACAGGCGAATTTGTCAATCGACACTTACTGGGTCCTCTCGCCCAAGGTGTCGAACAAAGCAAACATTTTGGTCAATAATGTCTGGATGTGGGTGTGTCTAGCTCTCCCTCGATGTCCGTCCGGGGTTTGAACCCCAACACGACCAAGAATATGCACTGCTAGTGAGCTCAAAATAGGAATGAAACTCGACTCCGATGCCCTCCCCTCTTTGTTGTGAACTCACCAAAATAGTTGCGCCAGGTCAGGAGGGGGACTGTCCAAACGAGAGTGATGTGAATATATTGGTTCCCTGGTTCCATCCCCGACAAAACATTGCGAAAAATCATCCGTACGACGTGGGAATGGAATAGAAACCATTAGGTTGGTGATGCGCGGTCGAATCTTGCGAGTACAGTGTGTGATTGCATTTCATTCCGGTGATAGGTTTCGACAAATAATAGCTTCTTGTCCGTCGATTTGAAGTTTGTATCAAGGCGGGGGGGAGGGGGGTTGGGTTGGCGGTTACACAGCACAACCTGTTTCCAATTTAGCCAGATGCATTTTCATTATGGAAGAAATCTCTTGCTTTCCATAGTATTTGGCATTAACTGTTTCGATCTAAGTTAGCCAAAATTATCACTCTTGTATTGGAGTTTGACAAAGATTCAGGTGGGTGTCCTTGGACTCACATGTGGAGATGAGGCCCAAGGCTCGTACGACAACTCCTGATAAATA